CCAGCTCCTCAAACCCTGGCTTTGACCTTGTTGAGTGCTAACTATGGACCAGGGGAAGCAGCTGCAGTCACAAAGTTAGGAGGAGGATCTCAGAGCAGGTGAAGGCTCCCATCCCCAGGTGAGGGGGATGAACCTTCAAGCAGAATTTTCCACGCCTGCTAAGGAAATGTCCTATAGTCAAAGGAAGTGTCATTAAGTCCTCCTCCAGGTGCCTGAAACCTTTCCCTGTCCACTTTGCCTCTTAGATCACACTCATTAGCCAAAAGTGGGTCATGTCACTGAAATTCCCCAACCCTTCTGCCACCACCACCACTCTGCCTCTCCTCTTCTGTACAAAAGCCTCAGCAAGACGCTGACTTGGTTGAAGGAGAATGGGACTTGGCTCCAGAGAAAAGAGCCAGCCAAGCTGAGCACAGGAGCAGCCCTTGAATCAGAGAACAGCAACACTTGCAAACAGCCTAGGAGGGAACAGAGTTTGAGAAATGTCAGAGCAGGAGTTTAGGGATGGAGAACCAACCCTTAAGATGCAATGTAAGAGGGCCAGTAGGTGGTGTGGTGGTTAAGGTGCTGGACTCCCGCACGGCCAACTGTAGTTCTAGTCCTGGACCTGGTGACTTATCTTCTTACTTTTCCCCTCTCTGTCTCTCTCTGTCTCGGTAGCTCTCTAATCAAATTAAAATACAATAATAATAAATAAAATTAGAATAAATAATTATTTAAAAAATGCAATGTAAGAGGGACTGGCAGGTGGTGTAGTGGTTAAGACACTGGACTCCCACATGGACGACTGTGGTTTGAGTCCTGGATCGGGCAGCTTGAAAATCATACCGGCACATGTGCATATGTACCCAAAATCCTAGAAGGAGAATAAAGAAGGAATTGCGATGTGGCTATCCCCTAGGGGTTCATTTCTCCTGTTTCCCCCCTCACTGTCTCTCTCTGTCTCTCTCCTCTTTGGCAAACTCACATGCCCTGTAGCAAAAACCTTAAAAAAAAAATTAAAAAGAGGCAATATAAGAGAGAGAAGGTAAGTTCTTTATTTAGGTCAAAAAGCTCACCAGCCACATTTGAGCTGGGGAGGGGGCCTCTGATTTAGCAACTATTCTCATGGGACCTTTGGGTTACTATGAAAGTACAATGTGACGTGGCTGCTGTCCAAGAAAAGGGATCACCCTTGCACAAAGGCACGACTTTCAGCTGTCATAATGGAAGCATCAGGTTCGAGTCTCCAGAGGAAATCATCTATGTTCTGAACTTCTCAGACATTGTTTAGAATATGTCTCATACGTGCTTTTTTTTTTTAAACCTGTTTTTTTTTGTTGTTTTGGAGAGGTTTTTGCTATAGAGTGCGTGTGCTCACCAGAAAGACAAAGAGAGACAGAGAGAAAGAAAGCGAGAAATCACCCCCCGAGGGGATGGCTACAACTCAATCCCCTCTCCTGCATTCTCTTCTCGGGATCTTGGGCACGCATGCACACGTGCCTGGCGTGAGCGTAAGCTGTCTGATCCGGGACTTGAACCGCGGTCGACTACGTGGGAGTCCAGTGACATAGCCATTACGCTAACTGCTGGTCCCCATACGTGCTTGTTTTAGGGAACTAACTCATGACAAACTAGCCACTGTCCTAGAAAAAAGACAAGGAGTAAGTTGGTCTGAGAACAAGACACATAAGAAAGGGTCAAAGGAGCTACTTGTGGATGAAGAAGACTAAAAGGGGACCAGTAGCTGGCGTAATGGCTATGTCACTGGACTCCCACGTACTTGACTGCGGTTTGAGTCCTGGACCAGGTGGCTTAAACTCGCCCTGGCCACGTGTGCATGCATGCCCAAGAACCCAGGAGAACGGAGGAGAAGGGATTGCAGTGTGGCCATCCTCCCTGGGGGGTGATTTCTCGCTTTCTGTCTCTCTGTCTCTCTCTGTCTTTCTGGTGAGTGCACATGCCCTATTGCAAAAACCTCTTCAAAAAAAAGAAAAAGAAGACTAAAGGGACATGTAGGTGACAGAATGTCCACGTTCTGACTGAGGACCCGTAATCCTCCAGAGTTGCCCAGAGCAGCATCAGGGACCCAGAGACTCACGGGTTATGACATCATGGCATTTTAGTTGGAAAGAACTTTACATGGAATCTGGTCTACTCCCAGTTTTTGATGACAAAACTAAGGCCAGAGATTTTCAGTGAGGGATGTAGACCACAGAGTTAGAGCACAACCAGGACTAGAACTCAGTCCCTCTGATGCAGGAAAACGAATTCCTGTCTCACCCTGATCTTGACTCTAAGTCCCTTCCACAACAGCCTGTCTCGGAACATTTCCGGGGACTAGCACTCAGTCCCTCTGATGCAGAAACGAATTCCTGTCTCACCCTGATCTCGACTCTAAGTCCCTTCCACAACAGCCTGTCTCGGAACATTTTTGGGAACTGTGAGTAGCAAAGAAAGAACGTGCTCTGCCCTGATTCAAAAGCCAACACAAGACTCAACACTTCTCACTGAGAAGTGACTGGGGTGGGAAGGAGGGATGGGGAAGCTCGCTTTAAGAAAAGAGCTTCCCCACAAACAAATTTGACCCAGCCTGGGCCTGGCTGCCCCCTATTGAAGGGAGTCTTCAGGGGAAAAAAATAGGATTGAGGCCGGATGGTGGTGCAGAGGTAAGGTGGCACTCTGCGATGCGGGGCCCATGCAGGAAGGTCTGGGATTAGAGCCCTGGGGCCTCGCTGTGCATGTGAGCTGCGTGCAGCAAGGCGGGAAAGGATTCTGCTAAGAGATAGGAGACTGCCTAATATGGCCTCTATCCATACTAAACTTCCATGATTCCCACATAGAGGAGGTCCCCACATACAAGGTTGGGGGAAGGATGAATTAGAGGCAGGAGCTGCTGAGGGTACAAGTTGGAAAGGCAGCATGAGAGGAATAGACGTCTGTTCCCTGTGGCGCCGCTCTTTCAGGTTTAGGGCTCCTGGCTCCTCACTTACGGAAAAATTCTGAAGACGGAACTGCAAACCAGGAACAGCATTGTTCTCAGATTCAAGCAGAATTCAGCAAGGGTGATAACGTGGATGCAGAAGCAGGAAGATTCTAGATGGGCATAATGAATATCTCCTTGGCCAGGAGAGTAATAAAACACTGTAACTGACTGCAGCAGGAAGTTCAGAGGTCCCATCACTTCCCCAAGGGCGCACACAGCTTTCCAGCCTGCGGGCACAGATGCTCAGCCGCCCCCATACCAGGGACTTGGCCAGATGGCCTTCCAGGTCTCAGGTCTGGCATTCCTAGACCTTCCAGGAATCTTCTCGACCATACAGATGCCCCTAAGATCCACGGGAATCTACCTATCACCTATAACCCCCAGGTTCTGCAGCATCTCTCCTCAGCTTGCATTTTGATGTCTCATATAACACAGCTACTTCTACCCGAGGGCATCTCCCTCCATAACGACATCCTTGGCCACCAAACCAGTCAGTTCAATGGCTTCTCTCTCAAAGAGAGAGAGAAAGAGAGAGAGAAAGAGAGAGAGAAAGAGAGAGAGAAAGAGAGAGAGAAAGAGAGAGAGAAAGAGAGAAAGAAAGAGAGAGAGAAAGAAAGAGAGAAAGAGAGAGAGAAAGAGAGAGAGAAAGAGAGAGAGAAAGAGAGAGAGAAAGAAAGAGAGAAAGAAAGAGAGAAAGAAAGAGAGAAAGAAAGAGAGAAAGAAAGAGAGAAAGAAAAAAGACTTCTAGATTGGAGTCTCTTTCTCCGTCCCGTGAGACTAAGTGGTCACGTGTATTGCAAAGTCCCTTTGAGCCACAGCCGAAAACACTTCTTTTTTTCTGGCAGCCTAGATAAGCTGGGAAGAGTTCACTGTTTTGCAAGTTTCAGAGGTGAAAGTCACTGTCACAAACACACATACACCAAAAAATTGGCAAAAAGTCTAGAAATGATTCACACAGAGAAGTCTGGCTGGTTGGTGCAAATTCATTCACAGCCTGATAAATCATTTGCTAGAGGTGGGGGGTGGGGAGGAGCAAGAGACTTCACAGAGGCCAAGCAGGACTCTGGGGTCTGTGCACTCCTGGCATCCCTGGTGTTACCTGGTGGCTCTAGCTTTTGCGGGAGCTGGATGGGGGGTGGGGGGATTGTTGAGTAAAATAACAGAGTGTGGCTGGAGATTCAAAGAAACCTTGGCATAAGCGGACCATACAGTCCCAGACCAGCAAGCCTCCTACCGGCTGCCTCTCCCTCTCCCATTTCTAGACAAACATCTCAATTAATAAAAGGGCAGGTAGGAGGGCTGGGGAGGGGAAAGGAGTTTGTACGAAGACCAGGAAAATAAGAGATTGATTCTGTTCGCTATGTACAGGCGGAACAATTCCATCACTGCCCACCCCGCCCTCCCCTTCGAAGCCACTGACCTTTGCTAAGAAGGTGGCATTCCGGATGGCGCCCACCATTTCTCCCCCCTTGGGGTGCACCTTGGCCACGTGCATCCACATGCGCTCCCAGGTGTGGCTGTCGATAGGAAAGCCACTCTTGTTAACGTGAAACAGCACCCCGCCGTCTTTGTCCTCCTCCTCCGAGCCCCCGCTGGTGGCGAGGCTCACGGGCCGCGCGTGGCTGCTCCGAGACCGGGGGCCCTTGGGCCCTTTAGGGGGGGGG